TTTTTTTTTTTTTTTAAGAGATGGGTGTTCTGCTCTTGCTCAGTCTGGTCTTGAACTCCAGAGTTCAAGCAATCCACCTGCCTCAGCCTCCCAGCATGCTAAGATTATAGGCAAGCCCTAGGACTTCTAATGAACCCTCTTAGAAGCCCCCCCTCAAGAAGGGGCTAATAATGATTAATTTATATTTACTGAATTCTGTTGTGCCAAGCATGATGCCGAGTCTTGCACTACATTATCTCATTTAATCCTCCAAGTTACTTTGATATAGGTATTATTATCCCTAGTACGTAGATGCGGAAGCTGATGCTCAAAGAAGTCACCCAGCTAGTCAGTGACTAAGGTAGCATGTGGCTCCAGGTCTATCTGACTCCAAAGCCTTTACCCGTCATAGGCAAGTTCCTGAATACAGGTACCCTTCCTCAACCATACACCACCACCCGCACATCACCAGATAGGGAACTCAGATTTTGATATTGTGGAAAGCAAATGGGGACAGGAACTACACTGTTGGTGTCTTGCTTTCCCACTGCTTCATTTTATGTAGCCCCAACAACTGCTCGTGTCAATATAGGACTTCAGAATCCTGAGAAAGCTCCACTTTGAGGATGTGTCTCCTCTCCTCCCTACCTACTCACTCTGCTACAACACCGCTAGTCCCCCCTCGAACCACTTCAACCACAGTAGTTCAGCTTTTATGTGCTTTTGGTTTCTCTACTGTGTGAGATCTGATTGGGAAGGAGAGTGCTCTTGGCTAAAAAGAGTTCACAAATATCTGCTCTAGAGCAAGTCAGGGATCTGTTTCTTAGTCCATATTCTAGTTGGGTAAAATGTGAGGGCAGGTACCTTACATCACAGAAAATACCCGAGGATAAATTCGTTCCTTCTGTAAGCGTTCACTGACTAAATGCCTATTCTGTACTAAGGAGCACACTGTGCCTCATGGAGCTGAAGTTGGGAGGGGGGGCGATATCCTGCTTTACATAAGATGGGAGAGAATTGGAGCCATAAAAAGTTGCTGACCAAGTGCTTTTCTGGGAGCTAGTTATTCCTGCCAGGACATGGGAAGGGTGTTTGATCCAGAGATGGCATTAAGTCTGGCCCTGGTGGCTCAGCATCTGTGGCTCAAGTGGCTAAGGTGCCAGCCATATACACCTAAGGTGGCGAGTTCGAATCCAGCCCTGGCCCGCCAAGAAACAACAATGACACCTTTAACCAAAAAATAGCCAGGCATTGTGGTGGGCACCTGTGGTCCCAGCTGTCAGGATCTGCTTCTGACACCACTTGTCAGGGCCCAGGACTGGCCGGTCTACAGGCCCAGCTTAGGTAGGTTCTAGACGCGGACCACTAAGCTACCTTGCTCAGGGACAGTTTCTCTTAGGTGCTTGAGGGCTATCTACTTTAGCTGGGGCGAGAGAGAGACAGAGTATCTTAGAGTAAAGCAGTCTTTTTAGAACAGATAGCTCTTAGTCTTTAGCAGAGCTTGGTAATCTTCAGCAGAGAGACGCCGTGCTGGCGTTCTGCAGGCAGGAGAAGAGACAGAGTCAGAGTAAGTGGATCCGCGGTAGAATGTGCATGCTTACAGGCTGCCTTCACCTCCAGCCTAATATAAGGCTGAGTTCGTGCCTCTCAACACCACAGGTGTAGAGACTGCCAATTCACCAATGCTCTCATCTCTCGAGCTCACTCATGCTTGTTAGAACCAAATCTCTCTCCATGCCCTTTTCACCAAGGTGTTCCACTACAGGTATTTCTTATAACTCTCACTCCTCCTAGCCATAGGCTATGCGGGCTGCTACATTTCCCCCCTTTTTTATATACAAACAATTTTTAATGTGGTAAGGGCAGTTCTTCCTGTTATCTAGCCCTTTTCTTTCTAGGCAAAAGATGGTAATTATCAGTTCCTAATTCCAGGTATGGGCTCTTTAAATGAGGAAGCCCAATACAGATGTAAACTATTAGCCGGTAGGGGAAAGTAATTGTGATGTTAATTCCCTTAAAGGTTTTTTTTTCACCAGAGAAAACTGAAATCTTTCCAGAGAAATTACCATTTCTTTAACTGTAGGAACTTTCCTTTGATATTTACTTGACGAACAAAAGATAACGCTTTGGGATTTTTCTCTCGCTATTCCAAAGGTTTTGCTACTCGTCGTGGTACTAAAATCCACCCTTCACAGATCGCAAAAGACTGTTACTAGTGGACTAATAGTCCCACACTTGGCAGTCCCTCTCGCGGAACTGTTACTCGTGGTCCAAAAAGTACCACCCTTCACAATTCCTCGATAGCAGAGTTTTTCCTGCTTTCAAGCTGCTTCTCCAGCGAAATTTTTGCTGATTCCAGACTCCTTTTCCAAATGGAGTTTCCTAGCACAAAGGTGGTTTAACTTTTACTCTTCCCTCCCTTTGTTCTCACCTCTCATAATCTTCCAAAGGCTTCACTTGCTTCCAAGTGACACTTCCCCTTTGGACCATGTCCAGTCTCCTTAGCTGGACCCGGTTATAGTGCACAGACACTGATGAGAGGTGGGTTACCCCTTCACCACGCAGGATAACCTAATATTCCACAAACATATTTAATCTAATTATTCTCCATTGTCATCCATTGGTCTGGTTTAATTTCCCCAGTTTTACACTGAGGCACCACAGGTCTAACCAAGCTGACAGAGTGCTCCCATGGCATAGAATTGAATTCTGTTTTTTCTGAGAATGGTTTGAAATGAAAATATTAAACTTTCTTTCATTTACCCGTGGGGGTCCTGATTCTGGCCCAACTGATAATTTCCCTACAATAAGGGTGTTTCATCTGTCAAATTGATAACAGCATTCATTTGCCCAACGAAAGCCTTTTTTACACTTGGGACTTACACCTGGAGCTTTACATGTTCTTTGTTCCTTTTCTTTAGCATTCAACCTTTTCCCTTTTAAACTCTTCTCTCTTATGGCCCAGCTTCCCACATTTATGGCATTTGATGTTAATTGGGGGATTTACCTTCTGATCTTGCAGCTGCGCAATTTGAGTTGTCATGTCAATATAGCATTTATCTGCTTCTATAAGATTCATCTGATCTCAACTGTATTTCAACTGCTGTATCTCATTTGCCATGATTTTTCTCTACTGGTTTTTTTCTTTCGGCCTTTTACTTTTTACAATCTTTCAATTCTTAGAACCTTTAGCTGCCTTAAAGAGACAGGAGCTATTTAGCTGGTTACTCTGGAATCTTGTTTTACAAAACTTTACTTCCACTATTTCTACACCAGCCTCAATCTACCTCATTTTTTTTTTAAACAGAACTCTTAACTGCCAAAAAAAGGAATCGGGCATCGTTCTCTCAAAAGCTGCTTCCTGCTGGCATTGGGCGAAGGTACATGGGAAGGCAGTTAGAAGTTCTCGTCCCTAACTTAATAAACTCTTGCAACCTATTCCCAAACTTTTCTCTTTGCTATTTTACGGAAAGTTTTTCTCACCCGTGAGGCTACAAGCTTGTTCACGAAAGGTTCTTATCTCCTAGTTCTATCTTCTCTTTCTCTCTTGTCTAAAGGCTTTTACTGGCTTTTTTTTCCCTCCAGCCGCTTCACAGAAGAGGCTAAAGGCTTTTACCGGCTTTTTTCCCTACAGTAGTAGTTAGAATTTGGAAAGAATATGTAGGAAAGAGGAAAAACAAAGCAAATGAGAAAGGCCTGCTGCTGGCTGTCTTTCTTAGATATTTCTTTTCCCTCTAAGTATTTCTATTTCTCTTCTCTTGTTTTGCTAAAGCTTATTTCCTTCTTGGTCCACGTTCACGGAATCCTGCTCAAAGCACCATTTATCAGCGGCGTTCACTATCCCGCTTCTGACACCACTTGTCAGGGCCCGGCTTAGGCAGGTTCTGGACGCGGACCACTAAGCTACCTTGCTCAGGAACAGTTTCTCTTAGGTGCTTGAGGGCTATCTACTTTAGCTGGGGGGAGAGAGAGACAGTATCTTAGAGTAAAGCTTTTTACAATCTTTCCCTTTCAATTCTTAGAACCTTTGGCTGCCTTAAAGAGACAGGAGCTCTATAGCTGTTTTTTATTCTAGAGTCTTGTTTTACAAAACTTTACTTCCACTATTTTCCAGCCTCAATCTACCTCAATTCTTTTCTTTTTAAATAGAACTCTTAACTGCCAGAAAGGGAATCGGGCGTCGGTCTCTCGAAAGCTGCTTCCTGCTGGCATTGGGCGAAGGTACATGGGAAGGCAGTTAGAAGTTCTCGTCCCTAACTTAATAAACTCTCGCAACCTGTTCCCAAACTTTTCTCTTTGCTATTTTACGGAAGGTTTTTCTCACCCCTGAGGCTACAGGCTTGTTTACGAAAGGTTCTTATCTTCTATTTCTGTCTTTTCTCTTTTCCTCTTAGAGGCTTTTTTCTGTTTTTCTCCAGCGCTTCACAGAAGAGGCTAAAGGATTTTACTGGCTTTTTTTCCCACAGAAGTAGTAGTTAGAATTTGGAAAGAGAATGTAGGATAGAGGAGGAAAAAAGCAAATGAGAAAGGCCTGCTGTTGGCTGTCTTTCTTAGATATTTCTTTTCCCTCTAAATATTTCTATTTCTCTTCTCTTTCTTATTTTGCTAAAGCTTATTTCCCTCTTGGTCCACGTTCATGGAATCCTGCTCAAAGCACCATTTATCAGCGGCGTTCACTATCCTGCTTCTGACACCACTTGTCAGGGCCCAGGACTGGCCAGGTCTACAGGCCCGGCTTAGGCAGGTTCTGGACGCGGACCACTAAGCTCCCTTGCTCAGGAACAGTTTCTCTTAGGCGCTTGAGGGCTATCTACTTTAGCTGGAGAGAGAGAGAGAGAGAGAGAGAAAGAGAGAGAGAATATCTTAGAGTAAAGCAGTCTTTTTAGAACAGATAGCTCTTAGTCTTTAGCAGAGCTTGGTGATCTTCAGCAGAGACGCCGTGCTGGCGTTCTGCAGGCAGGAGAAGAGACAGAGTAAGAGCAAGCATGCCCGTGATTGGATGCGCATGCTTACAGGCTGCCTTCCCCTCCAGCCTAATATAAGGCTGAGCTCGTGCCTCTCAACACCACAGGTGTAGAGACTACCAATTCACCAATGCTCTCATCTCGCGAGCTCTCTCATGCTTGTTAGTACTAAATCTCTCTCCATGCCCTTTTCACCAAGGTGTTCCACTACAGGTATTTCTTATAACTCTCACTCCTCCTAGCCATAAGCTATACAGGCTGCTACACCCAGCTACTTGGGAGGCTGAGGCAGGAGACTCGCTTGAACCTAGGAGTTGGAGGTTGCTGTGAGCTGTGATGCCACAGCACTCTACCCAGGAGGGGATAGCTTGAGGCTCTGTCTCAAAAAATAAATAAATAAATAAATAAAAATTTCTTTTAAAAAAAAAAGTCTGGCCCTGGAGAGATGAGCATTCCTGGCAAAAACATTCTTAGAGAATAAGGAACAAATTGGTGAGACTAGCATATTAGGGGCTTAGAAAATAGGCTGGGGAGTAAATACGAAAATACAAATATCACAGACTTAACTCCTTGGATATTCAGAAGTCATCTTTCAAGAATTTCTACTTTAAAAAATTTTAAACTAATAGCTGGGCGTTGTGGCAGGCGTCTGTAAGTCCCAGCTACTTGGGAGGCTGAGGCAAGAGAATCACTTGAGCCCAAGAGTTTGAGGTTGCTATGAGCTGTGATGCAATGGCACTCTACCAAGGGCAACATAGTGAGACTCTGTCTCAAAAAAATAAATAAATAAATAATTCTAAACTATTGAAATTTTAATATATGTTCTATTTGTTAAGGCATGATATAGATCAACATTTTCTTTCTCTTTCTCTCAGGTCATGGAACATCTTTTAGTATCGACTGCAATGTCTGTTCTTGTTTTGCTGGTAATTTGGTGTGTTCTACCCGCCTCTGCCTCAGCGAGCATAGTTCAGAAGATGACCGTCGTACCTTCACAGGTGACTGTGGTCACCCAGAGGCCATCTTAGGGGGCCCTTATTCTGTTGCACACATTTTTCCCTTTGAGGCATCTTGTCTGGTCTTGTCTTAACTGTAGAGGTACATGGTAAAACAAATGCAGACTCTGAGGGCGAGATACGTTCCCTCTCTGGATCTCAGAATTCAAAGCAATAAACTAAATGGTTTCTTAGGGTCCTTTGAGCCCTAATAGTCTGGAATTCCATGAGTCAAAAAGAACAGAGCTAGTGATTGGGATGGTTTTAATTAAGGTGAAGTTTTCTACCTGATAAAATATCCCATTTACCCCTCCTATTATGATCTAAAATGCCCATGTATTTTCTCAGTTTCCTTCTCAAGCAACACCTTCTTCTCGGCCTGCCTTAGTTTACTGGTTCAGCTAGACTCCCACAAATGAAGATATCTCAGAATCCCACTTTCTTGACGTTCCTATGCTTTGTTGCTGGTATTCTGCTCACATCAGATACAGTAAATGAAAAGGCTGGCGAGATAGGACTCTTTTCTCTTGTGAACCTATAGTTACCAAGAACAATGGCATAATCCACTGGTATCTCTTGATATGAGCTTTTGCCCAGATCTGAAATACCTGTGGTTCTGAGGACAGAGGTACTAGGTAGCTGCCCTTGCACCCTTGTCTTTCTGCTGCAGTGACAACCTGATTCTTCTTTCCCTGGTGTTAGTGTTACACAAGTAGAGGAGTGGGCATTAGGTGGGGGAAGAAGAGAATAAAGATTTACCAACCTTGTACCTTCAACCCATGCAAATCAAAAGGAGATCAGAAATAAGAATCGAACAGCAAACAGGTGAGGAAGTAGAAGTAGGACATCTCTACACCATCCTCTCTGTACTCCAATGAGTACCAGCCTTTACTGCTTTATTAGTATTATTATTATTATCATCTTTTATTATTATTATTTGCCCTGCTATAAGAGGGTAATTCATTCTGATTAGAGAAATCATATAGGGATATGGGGAAAAAGAGAAAGCTAAAGATTTTCAAGGAAGGCTCGGCGCCTGTGGCTCAAGTGGCTAAGGCGCCAGCCACATACACCCAAGGTGGCGGGTTCAAATCCAGCCCAGGCCTGCCAAACAACAATGACGGCTGCAACCAAAACATAGCCAGGCATTGTGGCAGGCGCCTGTGGTCCCAGCTACTTGGGAGGCGGAGTAAGGATACTCGCTTGAGCCCAGGAGTTGGAGGTTGCTGTGAGCTGTGATGCCACGGCACTCTACCCAGGGGGGCAGCTTGAGGCTCTGTCTCAAAAAAAAGAGATTTTCAAGGAAGATTCTTTTTTTGTTGTTAACATCTAAATGGTTTTGGAAGATGAACTTACAACTAGTAAGATTCTTGTTCCCTGTAGTATCAGGTTCCTGGTGTCCTGGGATAAATTAAGTCAATGACTTTTAAGCCAGCAGACTCTATGGAATTTCACTGTCTCAAAATCAGACTACGTGTCTTAGGACTCAGTGTTCCTAGTCCAAACATGGCCCATAGAGAAACATTCATAAAAATTCGTAACTCTTAAAATTACAATAATTTTCCAGGTTACCGTCTTGTTCTTCCCAATCCCTAAGAAGACAAGAGTGAAAGGAACCTCTGCGAGGAAGAACTTTTGCTTTATCTTATTTTTGGTGTTACCATTTAACTTTCAAGTAGTACTCCAAGCCAGACTTCAAACATCTAAATTCTAGACTTTTTATGCCAAATAAGGAGAAACATGATTAACTTTGCCTAGCCTTGTTCATAGAGGTCTCTGCCTGGGATGGAGGTCCAGAGGCCCACTATTAGCTGGCCATGGAGGAAAAGCACAAGGGAAAGCCGTCTTGCAGACAGGGGGCTCCTGAGAGCATCGCTGCCTTTAGAAATCCTATCAGCTTGGAGAGAAGCTTTTTTTCCAGCTTAATTTATAATTCTATTTTAATGGGAGACTTTTACATGATTGTTAGGGGTTTTTCTTAAAAAGAAAATATGGGGTGGTACCTGTGGCTCAGTGAGTAGGGCGCCGGCCCCATATACCGAGGGCGGTGGGTTCAAACCTGGCCCGCGCCTATAGTCCCAGCTACTCAGGAGGCTGAGGCAAGAGACTCATCTAAGCCTAGGAGTTGGAGGTTGCTAGGAGCTGTGATGCCACGACACTCTACCGAGGGCAATAAAGTAAGACTCTATCTCTAAAAAAAATAAATAAATAAGAAAATATGAGGGGAAACACACTATCCAAGCACATGTTTTTTAGACTATTTTCTTTCTTCAGGTCTGCCCTGTAACTGTGCAGATCAGTTTGTCCCTGTTTGTGGGCAGAATGGACGAACTTACCCCAGTGCCTGTATTGCACGCTGCGTGGGTCTCCAAGACCATCAGTTTGAGTTTGGATCGTGCATCTCAAAGGATCCGTGTAATCCTAACCCCTGCCCAAAAAATCAAAGGTAAGTCAAATGGCTTATTTTTTTTAACCAAAGATTAGTACTTACTACCATGTACCAGATAGTGAAAGTAAAGGTAAATTAAGAAGTGGTCCCTGCCCTGAAAAGTTTGAGTCTGGAGGGGAAAGAGCCACGTAGAGCTGCCTGATAAGGTGCTGAGACTCGGAGCCCGTAAGTGGGGAACGCAGGGCCTGAGAAAGCCCTCAGAGTTTGTGGTTCTCAGCTGAATCTAGAAAGACGAGTAGGAGACTGCAGGCTGGGAATGCAGCAGAGGAAAGGCGGAGTTGATGAAGGCAGACAGTGTAACAGGAAAATACTGTACCCAGGGAAAATGAGGAGAGAACGTGGTGTCTGTTGGGAGCTTTAGCAGTTCTGTAAGACTTAAACGCAAAGTGTAATATAAGGAGAGGCAGCAGATGAAGAGAAAAGGGTGTATTCTTCTTAGTCATTATTTGTGCCTTGTAGTCAAAGGAAACTGTCTTTTACTTATATGCCTCCCTTTTAGGAATTAGACATGAGAAAATTCTAGAAACATAACATCAGTACCATTTGAAATTATTTGTCCTAGGCTCCTTTGGGTGCGGTTTCCTCACTGAGCTCAGAGGACAGTTGATTCAGCCTTAATGGTCTAGATCTGTGCCCAGCTCTAAAGGCTCAGTGTTAGCATGGCTTGTGCTGGCCAGTGTGCCATATTCTTGTTGGAGATAAACCGTAACACTAGAGCCCATTCTTCCTTGCCAGTTGTGACCCAAAGATGTCAACATTCCTAGTTATTTGTCACCACATAATTGGTGTTGAAAGGAAACTTTTCTGAAATGGGCAGAACTGTTTGGTTGTCTTTTTTCCATGTAACTTAAACATAGTAATAAATAAAGTAATAGTTGGAAAAAGTTTTTCTATATATGTACATAAAAATTTCTATATGTGGTGACTACCAGGGCATGTGTCTTGCTGACTCCCTTAGATTGGAACCTTCTGGAACTGGAGTTTTCACTGGCTGCCTCAGAGACCCAACAGAACACGTTTCAATACCACAATCCTTTCCATATGAAGGATTTTGTGGAGAATAACCCATTATTTCTTCATCCTTAAAACCTGTTACAATAGAGAACAAGGAGGGTGTTAAAAAGAAATATATTAAAAGAAATGGCTAAAAATTAGTCACCCATCTGCCAAGTTTATCCAATAAAAAAACTGAGCCAAGAAAATTTCTATGGAAAGAAGACAGGATGCCATGTTTAAGAAATAAGCCTGAGTTTTATCTTACAGGGGTACAAGTGAATCTTTCTAAGAGTAGAATGTGAACGTTTTAAAACAATAACTGAGAAAATGACATGAAGGCTGTGTTGACCAGTTTGATGGAAGTATTTCGGATTGCATGTGAAAACCCCACACTGTACCCCAGAAATGCATTAATGTGCATAGTTACCATTCAATTAAAAAAAAAAGAAAGAAGCCAAAAGGATAATTTAGGTTGTGTTGGGAGGTAGAATCGAGGGTTGTTTTGGCCTTTGTTTGTTTTCTCTATTGGCTAGCCTTTCTGAATAAGGTTGTCTTGTTTTTATAATAAAGCAATAAAAAGAGGTCAGGTGCAGTGGCTCAAGCCTGTAATCCCAGCACTTTGGGAGTCTATGGTGGGACCAGCCTTAGTAATGTAGCAAGACCCTATCTGGGAAAGAAGGGAAGCAAGGATGAAGAAAAAAGGGAGGGATAGAAGGGGAAGAGAAAAACAATAAAAAGAAATCTCAAAGCGGAACAGCCTTTCTGGGCGTGATACAAAACTAATAGAAAAGATTGAAAAATTGAGCTACTTGAAAATCAAAATTTTCTGCAGTAAATTTGTCTGGTAACAGGTTAATAAATGACAAATTGGGAAGAATATAACAGAAAAAGACCTAAGTCCTTATAATACAAAAAACTTCTGCAAATCAATATAAAAAGATCAACCTTATATAAAAAATGGGCAAAGGTCAATAACCTAATAGAAAAATGGGCCCAGTACATAAACGAAAAAAGAAATACAAATGATTATTAAATACTTCAAAAGGTACTTTAGTTTGTTAGGGTAAGTAACTCTAGCTATGGCCTACAAACCCCAAAATATCAGTACTTTCACATAGTAAATCCAGTAAAATCTACTTTGGGTGTTCAGCAGGTGGCTTTTCACATTCACACCCAAGGAGTCCTTCCATGTAGTAACTCTGCCAACTCCTACAGCCTCATGCACCTCTCTCTGCATCTGGACGGCAGATAAGAGAAGCAAGATAATGGGGGTTGCTCTTGAGAAGCTTTTATAGGCCAGGTCTAAAAGTGGCATTCATCACGACTTCCAGCCACATTTCACTGTCGAGAACTCAGTCAGTTGGCCACTCAGAAGACTGGGAAATATAATCTAAATATGTACACAAGAAGAAATTAAATGAATTTGATAAACATCTGGCCAGTCTGCCACGATGCTTAACCTTTCTCATATTAGGGGAAATGTAAATTAAATTAAAACTTCAATTGTACACCATTTTTTATCTATCAGATAGGCAAAGATAAAACATTTGATAACATAGGAAAACAGCTACTTTCATACAAGAAGGGACTGAAGGAGGATTTGGTACATCCTTTACAGAAGGAAATGTGGCCAAATTTACAGTTTCAAATGCATATATTCTTTGGATCTGCTTCTATAAATTCTTTTACTTACGTAAAATATCTCTGGAAGAATAAATAAGAAATTGGCGATAGTGGTTGCCTCTGGGGGAGGGAAATAGGTATCTGGAATCCAAGTAGGAAGGTTTCTTTTTCACTACATACTGTTTTATACCTTTGTTTCACCGTGGGCTTGTATTATCTGTTCAAAAAATGATTAATTATTTAAGTAGAAAAAGTTATCTTCATTCATCAAGTATTTATGGATGTCTGAGTTGTTTTTCTAAACATTAGGGCACAGCAGTGAGGGAGAGAGACCAAGGCCCTGCCCTGCTCCTGTTCTCTTTCATTTGCCCCCAGATTCTTGCCTTTTTGATGATTCTTTTATTTCCTTGTACTCAGATTGATCAAGTTTTCTCTCTCCAAATCACTAAATTTCCCCTGATTTCCCTGATTGTTACCCGTTGCATGTTAGTAGGCAATGAAGGTCTAAATATTCTTTTTCATTGTTTCTCTTAACTCAGCTTAAATTTTTATAAAACTATAACTAAGTGCATTCTAATTTCAGATCACATCAGAAAAGGCAGACCATACATGGTGATGGTGATTTCAGTGCAGGTTATCCCTAAAAAATGTATAAGTTAATTTCCCTGAAATTAAAATAACACTAGCTTCTCTCTCTCTCTTATATATATATATATATAAATAAAATGTATATAAAAGTATATATTATATAAGTACATTTATATATAAGTATATTAAAGTATATATATGTATATATATTCTGTTTTGGAGACCGAGTCTCACTCTGTCACTCTGGGTAGAGTGCTGCAGTGTCATCATAGCTCACAACAACTTCAACTCCTGGGCTCAAGTAGTCCTCTTGCCTTAGCCTCCTGAGTAACTGAGATTACAGGCACCCGCTGTAATGCCCACCTAGTTTTTTCTGTTTTAGTAGAGACAGTGTCTTTCGTGAGCTCAGGCAATCCACCTGCCTTGGCTTCCAAAGTGCTAGGTGTGAGCCACCACACCTGGCCTTAGCTACTATAGTCTTCCCCTTTTGTTTTACAGACTAATATTTGTATATCCTATTGCTTCAAATACTCAGAGAAAGCTAACATTTTTGTAAGTCTTCTTATACAAAGTTTAAGAAGTTTATATACCCTTTATAAAAATTAAGAAAGCAGAAATATCTGACAAAGAAAATACCCATCATCCCTAACCCCTCTGAAGGAGGTCAGGAATTGAGAATGAAGCAAGATCCAGATATTGCTAGGAAAGACCAGCTTCCTGGGGCATTCTCTCTGCGATTTGTAGCCAGCCAGTATCAGCTGCTCACTCTTGTAGGCACCAAAATATGAATCTTTTTCAGGTATAGAATATAGCCTTTTCTTGTAGCTTTTTTTTTTTTCCTTTTGGCCAGGGCTGGGTTTGAACCTGCCGCCTCCCTGGAGGCCGGCACCCTACTCCTTGAGCCACAGTCGTGGCCTCGAGTGTAGCCTTTTCTTAAAGTGGACTTATATTGGCCAAGCTGAAAATTAAGTGCCTGAAAATATTTCATTTGTTATTTACTACAAGACCTCCACCATCGGACCCCAACCCGCTGGTTGGCCTCATATCATGGCCCTTTTGCCCTGTGTGTGCAGCTTTGGCTCCTGTCCTCATAGTCGCCTGCCATCTCCTCTGCACCACATTCCTTGAACATCACACTAGTGTTTATGGCTGCTCCCTCCAGGCTGACACCTTCTCCAGGCTCCCCAGTCAGGATGACTCACCTCCCTGAGCATTTTGCATGTCATTTCCTTCCTTATGGGCCACTTCATATGCAGACTTGATTAGCCCTCTCTACATAAGCTCTTTGGGTCAGGACTATTCCAATTCATTTCTTGCTTTCTCCTTAGCTTCCTGCCCCACATCCAGTGCTGTGCTGGCCCCACAGTAGCCCCTCCCTATGTTGGTTCACAGTGCTGCATTCATCTTTTTCAGATGCATACCCAAACCACAAGTGTGCCTGACAACTTTTGATAAATTTGGATGTAATCAATATGAGTGTGTGCCAAGACAGCTCGCCTGTGACCAGGTCCGCGATCCTGTTTGTGACACAGACCAAATGGAGCATAGCAATCTCTGCACTTTATACCAAAGAGGAAAAAGCCTATCTTACAGAGGCCCGTGCCAGGTATCGTGGTTTGGCTAACAAATCAAACAAATGGACATTAGCCATCAAACTGGTTTATGATTTTTTGCAGAAGAATCAGCAGTTAGACCACTTGAGGATCTTCTGTGACTGTTGTCAAATCTAAGAACCCAAACCTCTACTGCAAATGAGGACTGGCTCTTTCTCCTGGCTCTGGAAGGCTGCCTTGCTAGCGTTTGTGCCTTTGCACATCTACTGTACAAGCAAGGATGGAGAGTGGCTTCTTGCAGCCCACTTCTAGGAAAAGAACTTAAAGTCTAACACCCCCAACATGGTCGACACCATTTTCACTTCCTGTAATTCTACGGGCCCTACTAGAAAATAAAGCAGGGAGAATGAGTTGAAACAACCAAGGAAAGAGTTTTCCCACTCTTGCCACCACAGTCCCACCTCCGGGGGTACTGAAAAGGGATTGATAATTTCTCTCAGAAATTTTCTGAGATGTGTTTTTACATCAGCTTGTCTTTCAGTCTTTAGCTTATGGAATCTGCATTTATGCTTTAGAAAAATCCCAAGGGTCAGGTGCGTTGGCTCACGTCTGTAATCCTAGCACTCTGGGACGCCAAGGCAGGTGGATTGTTTGAGCTCAGGAGTTCAAGACCAGCCTGAGCAACAGCAAGACCCATCTCTGCTAAAAATAGAAAAATTAGTCGGGCATTGTAGGTGGGCACCAGTAGTCCTAAGTACACAGAAGTCTGAGACAAGTGGATTGCTTGGGTGGCGCCTGTGGCTCAGTAAGTATGGTGCCAGCCCTATATACCAAGAGTGGCTGGTTCAAACCCGACCCTGGCCGAACTGCAACAACAACAACAACAAAAATATCCGGGCATTGTGGTGAGCAGCTGTAGTCCCAGCTACTTGGGAGGCTGAGGCAAGAGAATTGTGCCTAAGCCCAAGAGCTAAAGGTTGCTGTGAGCTGTGATGCCACTGCACTCTACTGAAGGTGACAAAGTGAGACTCTATCTCTTAAAAAAAAAAAAGAGAGGATTGCTTGAGCCCAAGAGTTTGAAGTTGCTGTGAGCTCAACCCCACTTCCCACATGCATGACTGGTTTTATGTTAGCTCCTCTCCCCGGGGCCCATCTTTGAGCCCAGCATCTACTGCCCATAGCTAGCTAACACCTGCCGTGATTGCTTTTCCTTTCTTAGTCTTCATGGTTAGAAATAGCCCTTCAGCTTGTCTCCCTGGGTTTGTTTTCTCTCAAAGCCTTTGTGCCAGTGTATTGATACCATCCACTCTGAATTCCCAGTCTTCCCTTCCTACTTGTTCCAAAGGGAACAAGTAGGCTGTGACTTTTCTCTGATCTATTCCTAACCCACCTGATGTGTCCAGAGTCTGTCTGCCCCACTAACTTCTCCATTCTTCCCTTATTCCATACCCAGAATGGAATGGTGAGGCTCCAGATGTACATGAAGTTGATCTTGTTTTCTTCAAACAGGCACTTCTGGGATACTAATAGATGTCTGGAATGAGGTGGGAGAGGTGGCCAGAGAGGGGAATTTGGGGACTTTTATCTCATCAGTTCACATGGAATGAGCACCCAAGATTCTGGAGAGGCCGAGAAACGTAATCTTTTCAGTTAATCTAGAGACAACTATTTCTCCTCCCCCATTTAGCTCACTTCAAGAGCTTAAGAGGGTACCCACAAATTATACCTGTGTCCTTTTTCCTTTCTGAAAATGAGGGGTCATGCTGTGTACTCTTAGCTAGGAAAGGTGCACCATAGAGGTTTCCAGGCTAAATGTGATTTGTTTGCCCTCAGCCCTTCTGCAGAGCCACAGAGCCCATCTGTGGGCACAATGGTGAGACCTATAGTAGCGTGTGTGCTGCCTACTCAGATCGCGTGGCAGTCGATTACCATGGGCCCTGCCAGGCTGTCGGAGTCCTCTCAGAGTACAGCTCTGTCACCGAGTGTGCCTCTGTGAAGTGTCCTTCACTCTCAGCAACCGGATGCAAACCCATCGTTCCACCTGGTAGGCTGGCAGACTTTGGGGTGGGCAGGGCTGGGATTGGGAAGATGTGCTTATCATCTACCAGAGAGTGAGTCATTGAAAAGAGAGTTGACCATTTAAATTTTTCAAAAATTCTTGAA